CCATCCCCCGTCCCTTCCATCCAGGCGTGCGTTTGTCTTCCCCACCTTCACCGGGTCTGGTGCCTGCCGCTGCTCCCCTGCCCGCCCTGCCATTATTCACCCCCTGGCCGCAGTACACTCCCCACCCGCCGCCCTCCTCCCTCCCCTGCCGCGCCCCCTCCATCACCACCACTACCACCACCATCATGGCGAGTCGTGTCGGTCCATACGTCTTAGGCCGTACGCTGGGCATTGGCTCTACCGGCCGCGTGCGGCTCGGCACGCACATGGAGACGCGGCAGACTGTGGCCGCCAAGATTGTCTCCAAGGAGTGGCTCAGCAGCAAGGCATCCTTGTCGAAGAAGATCGAGCGGTGCGTCCCTCCCTCCTGCCTTGCACGGCATCGGGGCCGCCGCCGCCCACGCGCGCGGGTTCTTCCTATGGGGCCCATGTGTCACTTCCTCGCCCATGCCCCCCGCTCACCTCATTCCCTCCTTTCACCTCATTCCCTCCTTTCACCTCATTCTTTCCTTTCACCTCATTCTTTCCTTTCACCTCATTCATCCCTATCACTTCATTCATCCCCATCACCTCATTCACCCCTATCACCTCATTCATCCCCATCACCTCATTCACCCCTATCACCTCATTCATCCCTATTACCTCATTCATTCCTTGCACTTCGCTCACCCCCCGTTCACCCCGCCCCCGCCCTCGCTCCCCTTCCCTAGTGAGATCACCCTGATGAAGCTCATCCGGCATCCGAATGTCCTGAGCTTGATTGACGTGTACGAGAGCAGCTCCGACCTATACCTGATGCTGGAGCATGTGGAGGGTGGTGAGCTGTTTGAGTATCTCGTCAAGCGGGGCCGGCTCCCCGAGCATGAGGCTCTCATTTTCTTCCAGCAAATTATTTGCGGCCTGGACTACTGTCATCGGCATCTGGTGTGCCACCGGGACCTGAAGCCGGTGCGTGCCTTGCTCGACCTTCCTGCTGTCTTTCCCCGCCGGTCTCTCTCTCTTCCCCCGCCCGTCCCCCCCCCGCCCCCCCGTCTGTGGCCAGGAGGCCCCCTCCTCTGACGCCCCTTTCTTCTCGCACCCCCTGCCGCATCTCCACCCCCGCCCACCCGGCGCTGCATGCACCCAGGAGAACCTCCTCCTCGACGCCAACATGAACATCAAGATCGCGGACTTCGGCATGGCCGCCCTGCAACCCGAGGGCAAGTGCCTGGAAACCAGCTGCGGGTCGCCGCACTACGCCAGTCCGGAAATCATCCGCGGCGAGAAGTACGACGGCCCGGCCGCGGACATTTGGTCCTGCGGTGTCATCCTCTATGCCCTGCTGACGGGGAATCTCCCCTTCGATGATGACAACATCCGCCGGCTCCTGTCCAAGGTCAAGGCCGGTGTGTATTTCATGCCGCCCTCCCTGTCGGAGGGGGCACGGGACCTGATCAAGCGCATGCTCGAGGTGGACCCCGAGCGGCGCATCACCATGCAGGAGCTCATCCAGCACCCCTGGTTTAACATGAACGGCCCGACCAGCCACTACCGGCAGAACTCCATCATTCAGGTGCGTTGCTTCCTGCGCCTCTTTTCCCACTCGCCGCCGCCGCCGCCGCCGCCGCCACCGCCCTTCGCTCCCTAGCGGACAGGGAGCATGCGGGGGGGGGGGGATATACCCTTTCGCCGGCACATGCCACTCAAGAGGGGTGTTGTGTCTGTGCCTGTGTGTGCTGCCCCGAGGGAGAGCGAGCGCGTGGGCCAGGGTGCAAGCCTTTTCTTCTCCAACACGGGGCGCTTTCTCCCCCCCCCCCCTCTCTCTCTCTCTCTCTCTCTCTCTCGCTCACTCCTCCTGTGTCTGTCCGACTCACCCGTTCATGCCCCTCCCATGCTCCTCCCCTCGCACCGCCATGCAGATCCGCGCCCTCGACAGCGAGGACGAGATCGACTACGAGGTCCTCGAGAACCTCATGTCGCTGGGATACGACAGCGAGGAGGAGATCATGAGCCTGCTGTATTCGGAAAACTACACCATCGAACAGGTGTTCTACCACTTCCTGCTGGAGCGCAAGAAGGACCAACTGGACAACGAAGAGCAGGACTCCCCGGACCTGGACCCGAACATCCCCCGGCGGCGGTCATCCTCCTTCAATGCGGCCTCCATGGCCCGGTTCGAGCAGGAGCGCCGGCTCCGGGCCAGCTCGCTCAGCTCGTCCATGCTCCTGCGCGTGCAGAACCCGGCGGCCGAGGCGTCCGAAGCCGCCGAGGAGTCGGCCAACTCCTCCTCCTCCTCCTCTTCCACTTCCCCTTCTTCACAGCAGCAGCAGCAACCCACGCGGCAGTCGTCTCTCGGCCGGAAGCCCGGCCCGCCGCCGGTGGCCATTCCCACGGCCAACAGCAATGGCCATCATCATCCTCATCACCACCACCACCATCATCACCATGCCGGTGGCTCGGGGTTCGGTGGGCCGGCCTCGCCGGTGGGGTCGCCCTCGGTTTTGGGCGGCAGCCAGGGGTCCCTGCTGTCGCCGAATCAGCCCGGGGGGTCGGCCGAGTCGCCCGGGTCCCGGCTCGGGACACCGCGCTACAACCGCCGGGTGTCGGCCACCTCGGCCGAGCAGCAGGAGCCCACCGATGTGGCCAACAGTCCGAAGCGGTCGTGGTTCGCGTCGCTGTTTAATTTCAAGGGCGAGGTGCGCGCGGCATACATATATTTCAGATGGATGATGTGTGCCTCTCCGGTGTTGTCTCTCTCCTCCCCTTCCCCTCTCGGCACCCTCTCTCCATTAACACCGTTGCTTTTTGTGTGCGCTTGCGCCTGTCCTAATCATTCAGACTGTTAATATCCTCACCACCGGCGAATTTACCGTGATCACTCAAGCGCTCCAAGCTGCATTGAAGGTATGTCTGTCTGTGCTGCGCGCCTGCACTCCTTCCGTGTGTGTGTGTGTGTGTGTGTGTGAGAGAGAGAGAGGGACTCCCCTCTGCGCGTGACGCACGTGTGCTGACTGGCGTCCCTGCCCGCCCCTCCCTCCTTTCCCCTTCTCTCAGGATCTGTCCATCGAGTTCAACCTCCGCAAGAAGTTCTCCTCGCTGGAGTGCCGCGCCGATAGATGTCCCTGTGCGTTGATGTGTTCTCCCCTCTGTCTCGCTGGGTCTGGCGGAGGCCTGCGAGAGGGACTCCTTGACGACTTTCACGCGCATGGAGGGGGGGGGTTTGACCAGTCCCGCCGCCTTGGTTGCCCTTCTTCCTCTTCTTGTTCTTCCCCTCGTTGTTGCTGTCGCTCTCTCCCTTCCCCACATCGTGCTGACACAAGGCCATCTCTCTCTCTCTCTCTCTCCCCTCTTTTCTCGAATAACCAGCCCCAGACTCCAAGCCCCGAACGGTGAAGCTGCGGATAGACCTGGTCACGGTGAACGCCTTCCAGACGGATCTGGTCTTCGTTCAGATCCATGGCGGGGCACCCTCCTTCTTCGGACTGGTCGAGGAGATCCGCGTTAAGTTGGACACCATCCTCGAGTCCCAAAACAACGCCCTGCCGTAGAGCGCGCGAGGCGCCGCGCAACAGCGAGAGGGCGGCGAGCCCCAGGCAGGGGAGGGGGCGCGGGGAGGATGTGCATGTGTGCTCCCCCTCCTCCTACCACATACACACATGCGTGTGCACGCACACATCTCGCCCCGCGCGTGTGCCCCCCCCTGCTCTGGATGTTCCCCTCTCCGTCGGCTTCCTTCTCTTGTCCTTCATTTTCTGTCTCTCTCCCATCTTCCCCCTCCTCAGCCCTCATTTTCCTCTCCCCCCCCCTCTCTCTCTCTCTCTCTCTCCTCCTTCTCCACCCCGTACGGCCAGCCCGCAGAGTGTCCCCACCCCCTTTCTCGCACACGCGGCCGGCAGCGCGGGGTTCTCCAGCTTCAAATGTACTTCTGTGCGCTTCTGCATCTTCTCCGCGGTTTCGCCTGCCGCAAAAGGGGCCTTCCGGTTGGCTGCCCCTATCTCCCTATCCGCTCGTGCAAGAGCGGGGGGTGTGCCTCCCTTGTCCTCTCGATATGTGTCCGTGCCTTTCTGGTGCTTCCCTGCCGCGAGGAACCCCTCCGCCTGGTTGCCCTCCTCTCTTTGGCCCGCTCCGATGGTCAGAGAGGACACCGGATTGCCATTTTGGCGTCTTGCCGGGGAGTCGATGCGGCGAGGGGGGCATGCTCTGAGACTGGTGAATGGGGGCGGGACGGAGGATGGATTCCCGCCCCCCCCCGTCACAGCACAGGGAAATGGGGGACAATCGAGAGGAATTTCAGGGGAGCCCCGACGTCGGGGGCAGTGTGTGTGTGTGTGTCTGCACAGGGGGGGGGGGGGGGGGGGAGCCATTGCAGGCATGGCAGTCAAAGTGTTGGGGCAAGACCGATCGGGCCCCGCTTGAGTCGGCAGTGCTGCCTGGGCATGGTCGTCTTCGGGCCGATCGGGCCCGCTCCGGCCGAGAGACACAGCACGGGGGCGAGAGAGGTCGAGCCGAGGCGAGGGGCATGCATGGGGAAATGAATATAAACCACGTCCCATCCCCGGGGAGAGAGCAGCAGCCTGAGCGAGCGCGAGGGGGGCGGGGGCGGACCGAGGGGGGAGGCGAAGGAGAGCGGCGTGGCGAGCATGGCCCACCCTGCAACCGGGGCAGGGGGACCCGAGGAAAGTGTTCCGCAGGCTGGTCTCAGCTTGCCAGGGGGGTGGGGGGGTGGGTGGTGCGCATGGATCAGAACAGCTGGCGCGTCACGGGCCAGGTCAGCCGGCTTGCTCCGGGCTTCAGAATGAGGTCGACGGCCGAGCCAAACCGGCAGCCGAAGGCCAAGATCGCCGATCCATCTGGGATGATCGAGAATCAGAAGCCGCTGTTCGATGCGTAAAATGAATAGACAAAACCTAAACCCCAGCACACATTTGGGACAACATCCAATGGGCTTTGCAAAGATATAAGTACAGAACCAGACCAAGCACGAGCGAAGTGCAGCATGGCGGTGCACGAAGGTAGCCCGGCGCGTATCACATGCGGCGTCTCATGATCGGACGTGTTTTACGATCCGCTTTACAAGAACATTGTCGCACTCCGTCGACACCCCGGCCGGCGGCATATCTGGGCCGGGGGCAGGGGCGGGCCGGGCGTGCACCGGCGCTCGGCAGATTGGACTCGAGCTTTTTGACCGCCTACGTGGCCCTCATTGCCTCCTGCAGATCACGCATGACACCCCCTCCCTCTCGCCCTGCCCCGCCCCGCCCCGCCTCGCCTCACCTCGCCTCCTCATGCCTCCTCATGCCTCCTCATGCCTCCTCATGCCTCCTCATGCCTCCTCATGCCTCCTCATGCCTCCTCATGCCTCCTCATGCCTCCTCCGCACGTTGGCTTGGTTTGGTAGGGAGAGCATGCTAGCAGGGTGTTTGTCATCAGCCCATCAGCCTTGGTGCGTATGGAAAATGCCCGCCCCCAGGGCGTTACCTCCTTGATGGTTCCCCCCACTTTGCAGCCGATACTCCCTGAGCGAGCCGCCCAGATCCGGCCCCGGGGCCACACACATCTTTCGAGGCTGTGCCCTCATCCCGGCTCCCTCCTCTTCGCTTGCATCTCCTGTCACATTTCCATCGCCCCGCCTCTCGGTTCATGGGTCGTGTCAAGGCAGTCGCCCGGTCTGTCCAGCACTCGTTCGGCTACCAGCATGGGGACCACACACCGAGTCTCCAACATGCCGATAGGCGGGTCATGGCGATAACTCTCGCGCTGAAGCTGCATGCGCATATGGCCTGGCCAGGGGGGGGGGGGGGCACACGAGTGACCATCGTGTAGATGACAGTGGCTTCCGCAGGAGGGTGGGACTCGCGATCGGTGTTGGCACGCAAAAAAAAAAAAAGGCAGCCAGGCGCGCGGGGAGCGATCCGGGCACATCCGGCGATGGGACGCCGCGTGACTCGAATCACAGGTCACGCGGAAGAAATGAGCCTGACACGCTCGTGGCGTGATCAGTCACGTAAACATCGCCGAGCAACCGGGCTCTTCACAAGCTGAGGGGGGGGGGTGGGACATCTCCGCGGGAGCCCCAGCTCGGGGGAGGGCGTGCCCACCAGCACCGGCAAGTTGGGCCGCGCCTAGTTCCGGTTCTGTGCGCCAGGCTAATTCCCGGTTGGCACTCACAGCTGACCGCTGGCAACTCGGGAGGGGGGAATGTCCGTTGCACACTGGCGTCAACCCGGCGGTGGCGTGCCGGCGTCGCGCGGTTGGCCAAGAATCCGTCCGCTGTCCCGCCCCCTCTGCTGTGGACGCGCGCCCGCCCGAGGACCGGCCCGCCCGTGGTGTGATGCACGCACGAAGAAAACCGAGGTACGCCCCCTCCCCCGCTTGATCCACAGTTTCACACCCGTCATCCCCCCCCCCCTTTTCACACCCCTCCTTCGCACACCCTTTCCATGGCCTTGTTCACCCCCTCCCTCCCTCCCTCCTGGCTACCGCTGCCCTCCGCCGTTGATGGATGGCCGTTGGCCAGCGAGCTGCTGCCCCTCTCCTGCTTCGGAGGATGCCTCGTCCCCTGGGCATGAGCACACCCCGGTTTTCCCGCCGCTCCATGTGTATTGTTCATCCTTTAGGCTCGTGCGCTTGCCGCTTCTCTCCCTCACCGCGCAATGCGCCGCCCATGGCGCGCCTACTGTTGCTTCGGGCCAACTTCCTCGGCATGTGTTTTCCCATGTTCCCACGGTGTGCATCCTCCTGCCCGTGTACTTCCGGGCGGATTGCTCGTGCAGGCTGCGTAGCTCGCGACCAGGCAGCAGCGGTTGCACGGCCGTACAACGGCCGCCTCCCGAGCATGCAGCCCATGTCGGCCACGCCTGCAGTCTGGGCCACCGGTGGTCCATGCAGCTTGTATGGGCGGGGATCATCCATGCACTTTCCATCGCCCGGTGTTGGCCTCGTCCTTCGGGTCACCAGGCTGTCGAGGGACACCGCCCGCATGGTTTTGGGTCTCTGGTGGTCTTCCAAAAAAGGGTCTATGTCTCTTGTTCCGGCGCGCGGTCGGTCTCCAAGACCCACTTGTCTTCCTCCGCTTGCACTGGTGGGGCTAATCGTCACGACCACGCCCATTTGCCCCCCACAGGATCCCGGCAGACACCTGTCTCGCCCGCCTCCCCTTTGCATCTGCAGATGATGCACAACAAAAGCAGCCCGCCCGGGGGTGGCCGGATGCCATGCCCGAAGCATACGGCTCGGCTTCCGGCATCCTCAGATGGCCTTGTTTCTTCGTTTCCCAACGCGCGCGTGGCGACGGGTATCCTGTCACCTCGATCAGCCACCTTGTCATGGCGGCGCACCATCCGGAGTTTGGGCTTCAAGTCATGCCCACTGCCTTGCCAGAGGTGACACAGGGCGGTTATCCTGGCAAGGCGGATGCGCTACGAGCCACTATCCAAACCGTTGACGTTTGCCTCTCATCCAATCGTCGCAGACTGTTTGCCGGCCCTCCTGTCGCCAAGGTTCCCCGGCCGTTTGCCGTCACAAAGCGTCCTCCTCCTTTGCTCCTCTCCCTCGCGGTGGGTTGCAACCTGCTTGCGGCCTGCTTTCCTTGGTCCACAAGTCCTCTTCGCCCTGCAATTGGCCACCTCGCGACCCCTGCTCCCCCGAGAAGAGACAATGGGCACTCACACATGCGATCTCAGGGATTGCTGTGTCGATTGGCCAAGTGGGCCCGGGCCACTGGGGCAGCCCATGCGCCATCGGGCTATGTGCCGCACATTTCCACCGGACTGCTCAATTGACACTTGCGTCTCTTGTCCGGCCAAAGTGCTGGGGTTCACAGTTGGCCACACGTCCGGTCGATGTGGTGCCTGCTGGTCCTCACCTCTGCTCAAGGGAGAGAGAGAGGAGGAGCGCGGGAAGTGGCTGGCACTTGGCATTGTCATGTTGCGGACATCGAGGAGCTTGCCTTCCCCGAGGCTTTCTCGTCTGGTGCGCGTCGCAGGAACTCATCTATGCATGGACACGTTCTCGCCGGACGACAGGCGCAGGATTGTTGTGCCACCACCTGTGGTGAATCTCGCCCGGTGCATGGCACGGCAGCAGCGCCGGCCGTGTGCTGTCCATCCCCGGCGGCCGATGTGCGCGCGAAACAGCATGATGAAGGGCCCTCCGGAGATGTGTTGTGTTGTCGGGCCATCTTTCTGGCGGTGCCCGTACATGCCTGGGCCTGTGGCGTGCACTTGTCCGGGGGTACGTCCTGCCCAATTTGAGCCTCTCCATGCCTCACGTCCTCTGTCATGGCACCGAGCTTGTCTTTGGGCGTCCTCACTGCCCTGCCGTTGTTGAGTCTGACCGGATGCGCGCTTACGGTGACGACTCGAGCTAGCCCCAATACTGGGACTGCCGCCTGTCAGCTCATCCCCAAGCTGCGCTTCGGCATCTTTCAATGTGCCCCCTGGCGTGGATGATTCCCTCATTTTGAGCCCCCCGCCCACCTGGCATCAAACAACCACGCCAAAAGCACGGTCGCCGTTTCACCTCCAAACAGGTGCATCCCCCACTCAAGCCTGTCTGCCTTCTTGCAATCGGACCCCAGCGTGTACGACAAGAGTCTTGGCTAGCCACCTCGGTGATCCTGCACCTCTCGATGGGAGATTGTCCTCCCGAGCTCCGCCAGTCTACTCTATGGTTGGCTACGTCTCCAGGGAAAGCTCAACATCTCCCGCATCGCGTAGACCACGCCACAAGCCAGAAGGCGGGCGCCTCTTTCCTCTCTCCCTTCCCCTCCCTCTTCTTTCTTTCTCTCTCTCTCTCCCGTTCCTTCCACATCTTCCCAGGGGCTGTATTCCGCGCTCGGTGTTGTGATTCCGGCGCATTCTCGGTCCCGATGGGGATGGGTTTCGACTTCTTCAAACCGGCGTTCCCTGAATCAGATCGTGGCGGGCTTCTTGGCCGAAACCCACCTGTCCTATCGGCTCCGCTGCCAAGCAGCTCAGCCACACTATGATCTGCGCCTTGCTGGACTGCTCAGGAAGCAGAGGCTGTCCTATCCAGCATGTCGGCGACATCTCCCCAAGTCTTGGCGCAGGCTACTCGAATAATTGAATTTGCTGGGACAAGAGGGGCAAAATCGGGGGGCAGCGCGGGGCTGGACAAAGTGGCCCGCAGTCTCGATCAGACCCAGGGACCAGCACCAACGGTGACCAGAGGCATGGTTCATGGTGGCCCGGTGAGGGAGAGACCCTTGGTCTGAGGAGGCAAGATGGCGAGACGCGAATCCTGAGCGTCAGGGCGATGTCGTTGCCGAAGGTGGCGGGTTCCTGTGACATCCTGGGGCGAGGGCCACCCGCACACAATGGGATCTCAGGAACGCCAGACACCCAATCGTCTGTGTTATGGCCATGGCTGTGGCCAGTGCCCAGGTGTCTGCCGCTTCCTCCAAGTAGGGGTCAGCAGAAGGGCCGGCCAGGTGCCTGGGGGGCGTGCCTTTTCGGACGCCGGCATAGCTCGGCATTTTCCAGCATAAAGGGCCTCAACCTGGCGAGTGCCATTCCCCCTCCTCCCCCCTGATCAGAAGCCGGCAAGGCAACCCCCACACATGGGTCCAAGGGCAGGGAGTGGGCTCGGGGCTGACAGCCGCCGATCCTGGCAGACTGCTTGTCCCCATTTCCGCGGGAGGGAGGGGTTCAAATTTGGGGAGGAACGACGCTCCCGGGAGTAAGCCGTCGCTCCGGCAGGCTGGCCGGAAGGACCCTGTCTCAGGGGCATGCGGCCGATCAAGCCGGCGTGCTCCTGCCTGGCATGCAGGGCCTTCTTGAGGGCATGGCTCGCGCTTCGCACATGTGGCCAAAGCCCAGCCGCGCCATCCTCATCGTCCGAGGGCGGTCTGATCGGAGGATCCAAGCCTGCACCTGTAGAGCGACAGCCAGACGGGCGGCATCGGAGGGGGAACACCAAGGCCGAGGTGAAGGCGGTCCACGCGATGTCGCCCTGCTGTCTCTGGGGCCGGCGTGTCTTGCCAGAGGCTGGGTGCTGCCGGGGCAGTGCTGATGCTTCGGCTAGGGAGTCTCTTTCCAGAATAGCACCGTCTCATGCCGACATCGGACGGGTCGGCTGTCAAGGAGCAGGAGCATTCGACACCGGAGGGTGAGGGATCTTGCCCGGCTGGGGAGGACGCAGCGAGGGTGGGTGCCCAAAGGGAGGGGAGAGCCCATTCACGAGTGCACAACAGAGCCGATAGGCATCTGGACATTGTGAACTCAAGAGCGAAAAGTCAGAACACGCCTGAACAGCAGGGGCGCTTGACCGGTGCCCACCATGCGTGCCGACAGGCAGCGAGTAGGCTAGCTGCCTCGGGAGAGGAGGGGAAAGCCGCCGTCTCGAAGCGGCATCCCCTGTACAGCAGGCAGGAAGGGAGAACGCCACACTTTGAAACCCTCCTGTCGTTGATGAGGATGTCCCAGAAGGCAGCCACAAATGTGTGCCATCGGCGAGGGGGAGATGCCCTTTCAAAGCCCCCCCCCCCCGGATCCGATGGAGGCCTTGTGAAGGGAGGACATGGGGAGCGGAGGAAGGGCGATGGGAGGCGGTGCAAGCGACGAACCAGGTCATAATAGTAGGCCGCCAGAAGGAGAGGGGGAGGTATTCAGCGCGAAATGCAGTTGGTGCGCGACTGGTGATCTACATGTCGACTGGTTCAAGCAGCCTCATGGAGAAGCAAGCGGATGTGTGGCATGGAGGGCGGGAGCGAAAAAGGCATGACGATGAAAGGAAGAGGGGAGGGAAGGGCTGCTGGTGAGGGGGGCGGGGTGGGAAAAAACCGAGCAGCCTTTTGGGTGCCTCGCCCGGCTGCGGGCTGGTCTGCCCTGTTGCGGCGAGTTACTAGCGGGGAAGACCGTGCGGTGGGGAGAAAAAGGGACACTGACGATCGAAGATGAGGAGAATGATGTATATATTCCTACAAATATAGATATCTTAAAAGGGAGGGCTGTATAGTTTCTAATTCTTTTATGGCAACAAAGTCCCTCAATTCTCCACTTCATCAGGAGAGAAAAAGAAAATAAAGCCCCAAATGAGGTTTCCAAATACTGACATAAAAGTATTTCGGGACACACATAAATATGTGCTTGAAGTGTCTGCGACCGGATGCCTCTGCTCCCGCGCCACCATCGCCGGGAGTCTTGCACACTTTGTTCCCAATGTGAGAATGCTGTGTTGGGTTGATCCTCGCCACCTTGGCTTCACCGTGGCAGATTGCTTGGAATGGGCGTGTGGCCGTGCCCCATTCTTACTCGACCATCCGTGTCGGAGGGGCTTGGGATGACATTCATTTGCTGGCGGTCCGTCTCCCGGGGACGTCTTTCCCATAGCCACTCTCCTCCCTCTCTTTTTGACACCCTCCCCTCTTTGCTTTCTCCCTTCTTCGTCCCTCTATCTTTGCCTGTCATCCTGCTGGCGCCCTTCCTCGCTTTCTCTTCCTTTTGTTCCTCCTCCCCCCGCCCCTTCTCCTTCCGCCCTCCGTCATCCCGGTCTCCCGGTCCTCCGCACCACCCCGGCCCTCCACACCATCCACGCCACCCACACGCGCTTTGGCCCATTCTTTTCTCCTCTTGCTATGCCTCCCCGCACCAAGAAGGCAAAAGCTTCGGCCGCGACCCCGAGCGAGTCTGCCAAATATGTTCTCCCAATCATGTCGGGGACTGAACGCCCGTTCTATTCCCCCGGAACTCCTCTGATGTTGGTGGTGGACTTCCCATCATGCCCTCCCAGCCCTAGTCCATCGCCTTCGATGACACCCTCGGCCACAACGCCCGTTCTTTCAAGCCAGCCCGTGGATTCCTCCCCGACTTTGGTGTGTCCTTTCCTCCTCATGCTGCCCCTCGGTTCCTTCGACCGTGTCCTCATTCTGACTGCCCACCTCTTCCGGGCTCTGTGCAGTCGGGTCCCGCTTCGCCCGGGGCCCGGACCATCCCTCTGGCGGGGCCTGCTCCATCGACTCCGCTGCCGATCCGGGGGATTGGATTGCCCTTCCGGCGCACGGCCGCCGCCTTCGCTACCTTTGCTCCGGAGGCATTTGAGCAAACAGCCCTGAAGATCTGGATCCACCAGATCCCCAAGTCCCTGGGGCTCGAGGGGCTCTTTGCGCTTTTCCCCTCCGAAGTGGCGTCCTTCATCCTGACCGGCCCGGCCAAGCAGCCGGCCACCTCTCCGCTGGAAGCCACCGATGCCGACGACCCTGCCTGCTTGGACAAGGGCGACCTCTGTGGGACGGACTTGCTGCAGGTTGGCGCCCCCTCGAATGTGGTCCTCAACCCGGCTGGCGTGTACTTCCGGCTGTTCTCGAATTCCCCCCTGACGGAGGAGCACTGCAGCGCCGTCATCTCGCTTCCAACCTCGGACTTGGCGCTGGCGCTGGCTCGCCACTTGGAGTCCCTTCGCCATACGGTTCCCGAGGCGGCGGAGCTCATCGTCAGTTTGTCTTCACATCGCCTGACCCCGGTGCCGTCGTTCTGCCGGCCCTCGGTGGAGCAGCCTGGGGGCATTCCCCTGCGTGAGGCCCAGCCTCCAAGCGAGCGCTTCCTCGAGTATGCCGCTCGCAGGGCCGCCCAGGCCACCCCGCTGAACAGACAGGCCTTTTGAATGGCGAAAGCGCGTGCGTGTGTGCTTGATGTGTCTGACCATCGCGCCCTGCATGGCCTCAATCTTTCTCGCAAGAAGAAGCAGCCTGGCCCACTCTGCCGTGGTGGAGACCAAATACACGCACTCACGGGGAATAGCCGATTGACTGGGAGGCGGGTGGGAATCTGCGCGTCCGGCACTTTCATCTGCGAGCCGCGTCTCGCCCGTTGCCTCGCTCTTTTTGGCGAGGGGTGCCCTCGGCAGCGGTCGCCCCTTTCATCCTGGTCAGGCTAAGCAACACAATGCCTGGCCCCGGCCACCATGCGTCTGTGGAACGCGGAATCTAGCACCGTCCGTCGGGACTTGGGACTTTCCCCCCGTTCTCCCCGTACGCGCCCGGGTATTTTGGATGCATCAGTCGAAAGCCGGCAGGTCCCCGCCACTCGGGGGATCCAACTCCCAAAACGTGGATGTGCCTTCGGCGGGGACATTTGGCAAAGGGAGAAGTGCTGTCTATTGAGAAGACCCTGAAACTGCGTGGGGAGAAGGAGGGGGGG